AATGTGAAGAAAGTAAGACAAAGTCGAAAAGATTATAGACGACGGGTTTCGCCAACGTGCGTTGTGTTCTGCTTCCTCAGATTAGAATCAGACAAAACATTGCTGATACCCCTCACGATTGGACGGAGTGATTCCCGAAGCGTCCGTCCACGAAGCTCTGGAGTCGGAATGAAGGAAACATCTATCAGCTAAGTAACTAAACTTTTACATGTATAAATCCTCCTCCTCTCTCTCTCTCTCTCTCTCTCTCTCTCTCTCTCTGTATATATATATATATATATATATATATATATATATATATATATATATATAAATTTTTTTTCACACACACACACACACACACACACACATATATATATATATATATATATATATATATATATATATATTGGGTAATGATGGGTTAATTGTCGCCATATTATATTTTATTTTCGCACACGCGGTTTGTTTGTTTTTGATTTTGTCGGCTGCACGGGTATAGTAAGGTCAATTGGGCACTGCCCGTGCGAAAAAGAGCTCTGTGACTTAATTCAGTCCGCCAGAAATTTGGAAATGGCATGCTGTACTGCTTAGCATTTACGTCGGAAGCTCCAATACGAATATTTCAGTGTTTGGGTGTCTATCTGAAGAGTGCTGAGGATTCGCCAAGAGATGATTGAATCTAATGGTGATTACGAAGGTGATTACTAGTGATGGAAATGCTAGGCCTTCATTCATCTTCCCACAGGACCTGACTTAACACGGAGGACTACATCAAGGGCCTTGAGAAGGTAGTGCTGCCCTGGAGCAAGATGGTGGCTGCTGGAACACCCTATGCAATGGCTATCAGACAATTTTATCGACCACATCACACCTTACATCTGGCCACCCAACACCCCAGACTGCACCCCCTTGACTATTATGTGTGGGGCGAAGTTGAGCGAAAGACCAATAAAACTCCTTGTAACACAAAAGATTAAGTGAAGGCAAGGATTATGGCAGTATTCACAAACTTAAACAAGGAGCCTGTCCAGAGGAGCTGCAAGAGATTTCGAAATCGTCTGGAGGCCGTTGTTGAAGCCATTAACGATTTTATTGAATGAATTTATTATTTAGTATTTCGAGATATTTTTGTATAATTTCGGTAAATATATTTGATAAAATGAGATGTCGGTGTTATTTTAATTTTGCGTAATTTAAACGACAATTTATCCATCTTACCCATCTTACCCCCTCTTTCTCTCTCTCTCTCTCTCTCTCTCTCTCTCTCTCTCTCTCTTGAACAAAGTGAAAAAACTTTTCACCAACGACGTGTGTTAGTTTCGATATCTTCAGTTTGGAATGAAGACAAAAACTATGTGTAAGGGATTTTTGAGGATATGAGGGGCAATAAATTTTATTACCTTATCAGATACGACAACCAGAAACCAGTAACTGTTTGTTTTATATTTGTATATATTAGAGATGTTGTTGTTTGCTGGATTTTAAATCAGGTCACTCCGAGTATATCACTTTTTTTTTTCTCTAATAGTTCGTATACCATATTCTGCTTTTATTGCTTTTGCTATGATCGGTAACAAAGGGTACGACAAAAATACTTCCCACACTTTAAACTGTCACTTCTGTGGTGCTAATGTACTTAGGCATGTGACAATTTGTCATCAGCTAATATCAGTTACCATCATCCTTTGGACCGGTACACACCGTGTGTTTGCAGTTGTAACGTTTTTTTTGTGTTTTTTTTAAGACTGCTAAATCTGTAATTGCAACACAGATCTTTTTGTATTAATTTCATGTTACGTCGGAATTATGCTGTTCCGGACAAAAAAATTCAATACTGCTATAAGTTGAAAACTTCAGGACCACAGATTCAAAGCTTAAAAGAAAGCCACCTGGAAGGCCTCGAAGTTGCTTGAACTTCCGAGTAATGGAAAACTTTACAAATCGTCTACAACAGTTTACAGCAAATAGGGGGCCACTATTTGGAAGATGACATTTTACAAACAAAATGAATAAAAACTATACCCATATTTTTAAACAAAAGTGAAATAATATTTTTAGTAGCAGTTACGTTGCTCTTTTTGTTAACATTTAAAATGTGGAGAGTATTTATGCCGCACCCTGTATTATGTATGGCCCTAAGATACGTCGGCAAAACGCATCGTTTACAAAAAATTCCGTATTATCTCATCATCTCCATTTTTGTTTCGGATAATATTATATATCCGACAAACACATATAGATCAAAATCTAATCTACAGGTTAAGAAAACAACATAACAACTTCAATGTTGTTAAAGTTTCATTTTTTTTTCTGCACCTCCATTTATCGGATCAAAAAATAATGAAATCAAAATGGCGATAATAAAAGAGAATCTCACATGTTTTCACCATTGACTTTAATTGCGTGCCTATTGTATTCCGACGGCGCTTTGCTATGCTCGGTTACTTAAAGGACGCAGAAGGCGAAACGACTTTGCTTCAATGGCACTGAAGTCGTTTAATGAAGAGAAAGACAAACACGGGCGTATTCTTGTTATTTGCATTATAGCATTTAAATTGGAACGATTATAACATCATAAATAATAATACTGTCACTACGAATAATAATAATAATAATAATAATAATAGTAATAATAAATTGTGGCGCATGAGGACATTAACAATTAACAGTTTTAGTTGGAACCCTCGGATTGATTGGAAAAGATTCCATTAGACTCATTTAAGGAATACCTAGCAGCCCATGCCTTAAATAAATACAAAATATTGTACTCACAAATACAGCCCACACCTTACGAAGGGCTTTATCTATGTAAAATAAGTGCGATTCTTTTTCAAAACTGATCAGTAGAAAATGTCATGATGCCATTTCTGACCTTAGGTCTCTGGTCGGGACCTGGAAAGAAATGAGTATACACCAGAAACCAAAGGAAATGAAAGAATAATAATAAAAATAATGCCCTAATGCTACAACAGGTATGGCTACTTAACTTATTCGAGATATTACGATGTCCATGTTTTGCCTTGGTGAATTAAGATTGGCTTCTGTTTGTATTTCATTAGTAAGAAGAAAGCTCAATTTGGACAGTTTCTCTCGAAGAAACGCTACTTTTTGGAACAGACTCCCGAGAGGATGCTTCCCCGTTCACTACAATCTTAACCTCTTCAAGTCTTCAACAACCTTATTCAGTAACCCTCTACCTTGACTGGTTCTTGGGTCTTGTATTGGATGAAGAAAAGTAAAAAAAAAATAAATATAATCCCGTTCGGTAGCACAGATTTGGTTGTCAGTTTCCAGATTTTAACAAGATTGGCATGTCAGCTAGGGGCTGATGTATTGTGCATCTGTAGAGGAGCGTGTATAGTGGAGACCCTTGTGGCTAGATGGTGTGAGGTTTTTGTTTTTTATTAGTTTGAAGCACGAAGCAAGACGTTTCGAGAGTCACGTCTAGATTTAGGAACAAACCATTTCTGTGAACTGCCTTACTAAGTAGGTCCCACCTGCAAGGTTAGGCACTGCGTTTATCAAAACCTGCCACCAAATCGCGTACATTTGGCAGTGATGCACGTGCTTTATATATCCTTATCAAACTGGGTGACTATCCGTAAGGATGAGTATGTAGCGGCAGTATATTTGTATCCCAGCACTATTTTTTGGCGTGCTACTCTCACATACAACAACAACAGCAATAATAATAATGTTCAACATGGTGTGGTGTTATGGTTAACAGATCATTTGTATTGCAAAGGGTTCTCGTGTTAGGGTGTCCATTACCTGTGTAGTTGTGCCATACTAAGCAATACTTAAAGTTTATGGCCATATCACGTTGATACGCCGGTCCTCGTTCGATCACCAAAGTTAAGCAATATCGAACCTGGTCACTACCTAGATGAATGAGTTCTTGGGAATAGTAGAATCTGCAAGCTTGGGTGTGCGATGTGTTCGTTGTGTAATGGATGACGAGTTCGAATTCCAATCGGGTTCGTTGCAAGCACTTACGCGTAAATACCCTTGGAAAAGGTAAAAATCCATCTCCTCACTTAGGCATGTGTTAAATAGTAGAAGTATCTGGAAAAAATCATTAACATCTAAAAGAAAACATTGTCAATTCAATATTTATTCACAAAAGAAAGAGAATTATTCTTACACTCCAAAATATGTTTTGGCTTTAAGTAACCTACAAATGGTTGATAATCCGTAAAAAAACTAAATCAAACAATCAAGTTTTTTTTTTTTTTTTTTTATCTCCGCCCACGGCAGGTTTAGCAATTCACGCAACTTAATTCATTGTACTTTTTATATCGGGCCGAACATTCCCACGAGTATGACCCAGATTAATCTAACGCAAAAGATTATTAGAATTATAAAAAAAAAATATTATAAATAAAAATTATCGTATATTATTATGGCGGTCCATGGAAGAGGTTCCTTCCTTGCAAAATTGAGAACACAAAAACGGGCCTTTTCAGGGTGCCCCCACCATTCAGATTGCCCCCCCCCTCTCATTTGGGGATGTGCCTCAGTTGCACCCAAATGTTGTTACTAATATTGATTTTCGGGTGGGCTGACTTTAAAGTTAAACTGCTCCAATTGAACGGTAAAAATTACGAGTAATGAAACAGTCTGTCGAATACGGGTTATACCGCTTATCGTCTATATGACTCTTTAGCATTGTAGTGGGTGAAGTTTAGTATTAAAAACATTTAATGTTAGAATTTTTTTTTTAAATACTTCAACTTTGACAATATTTTCCAACTCTTTGTTGATATGATAACTCTAACAATGAAATCATCAATTAACCGTTCCTGTTAACTAAGTTTTTTAAAGGCTACAAAATAATTAATTAATAGATTCATTTCCGAAGAAACAAGAAAAAGAAATATATACTAAAAAGAAAAACGAAATGAAGAAGAAGAGAAGAGAAGGAGTAAAGCAAAAGAATAATGAAAAAGAATCGACGAAAACAACAACTAAGAACAGAATAGGAAAAAAATGAAGGAAGTCCCGCCCAACTTGTTGGAATGGAAGAAGTTACTTTCTGTGGAGAAGCTGTCGCATATTGCAATCACGTGATATCTCACACCACGCCCCTCTCTCGATTAAGCTCTCGACCTCAACACTCTGACGAAATCCCAATGCGAACAAAGTCATAAACGTTAAAAATACTCCCCCCCGCTCACGACGGCTGCCATCGTATTTGTCACATGTCGGTTGGGCTTCGTCTGAAAAGCCGCCTGATCCACCGACAGCAGAAACCAGATTTCAAGAATGAAGGCTGTGACAAGGCCACGCCCTTCTTCATTTTATTTATTTATTTTTTTATTTTGTCTCTCTTTTGAAACACACGCGCATGAGCAAACAAACACATGCGCACAACTCAGGCATACAGCAATACACACATATATCCCGGAATTAATATGTGTTCAAACACACTACATTGTTTGCTTTTGTTGTTCGTCTTTCCCGCTCATTTTTTCCTTACAAAAACATATCAATTGAAAATTTCTAACTACAATATTCTATATAAGCCCGATATTTTGTCGTTTGTTTTTGTTTTTTTTATTCAAATTCATTCCAAACTTCTTTCTGAAACAAAAGATACAACACATTGCCACTCATCCGTACAAGTTTTTTGTTTTTAGTTTTTTATTATTATCAGTAAGCCCTGCATTGTATTGCGTTTTACAAATGGCGGGTAAGATTGACTGTCTGCTCCACAAACTGAAATGATTTAATCTGGTTTAAAAATATACTACCTTTGTTTCATAATGGATGTTATTTTAAGTCTATGAACTTTCTTCTGAAATACTTGTCATAATTCTAAACTAAGCAAGAATAAAATATTCAATGAAAACAATTTGTGTTTTATGTCAGAACTTGGAAACAAATTTTTAGAAACATTTAAAATAATTTCATTTACATTTAAGAGAATTTTTGTATTTAAAATGGCACCACAGTTAGATTTTCCGCCATTTGTTAGCCGATTTTACGCAAATGTTTTTCATTCTTAGAATGTTGTAACTACCATGATGCAACATTCCGAGAATGATTTGCCAATACAGGTAGATTCCGCGTTAAATTTCCATTTTTCTTTTAGTCTTACGGCCATATCACGTTCAAACATCGGTTCTCGTACGACCACCTAAGTTAAGCAACATCGAGCCTCATTATTACCTAGATGTGCGGTGTGGATAACGGCTCGGAATTGGGAAGAGCCGAGTTCCAATATTCAGTTGAGCTCGTCATATTCACTTGTACGCAAATACACTTGCGAAAGGCATGAACCCACCTTTTTCCCCCACCATTAGTAGAACTTGTATCAGTAAAAATCATTATTATCTCCAAGAATTATCACAAGCTAAAAATATTTTCTGACTTTAAATAATCGGCAAAAGGTTGATAAGACGTAAAAAAACAAATCACTCGATTCATCCTTCTTTTTTTTCTACTAATTGTTCACCCAATACAAGGCTCATGAGCCACTCAATGTAGAGAATTATTGATTGAGGTGGATGCATGTAAGAGGCGGAATAAGAAGTGCAATTCATGAGACCCTGTAGGTTATCCTATAATTGATATCATCTGATAAAATATATAAGTACAGCGAGTGTAATTTTTTTCAAAATTTTAAATTTTGCTTACATTTCAGCCTTTCACTTCACATTTCAGCCTTTCATACACCTGAGATATTTTAACATTTACCACTATCAAGTTTACTATTAACATTGTCCCTCAGACATAAACTACACCTTTAATATGTGTTGCCAATAATCAAAAGAAAAATATGCAAATGTATGCAAATGTATGCAAATGACACAGTGTTGTTAGACGACGCAGTGTTGTTAGACGACACAGAAGGAAAACTAATAGAACTCCTACAGAAGGTACTTGAGGAAAGCGAGAAGAAAGAACTAAACATCAATCGCAAGAAGACAGAATGTATGGTCGTCTGCCAAAGGGACACTCTAACATGCAAATTACAAATTGGAGATACCAAAATCAAGCAAATACAACAATTTAACTATCTAAAAATGTTTTAACAGAGAACGGAAAGTGCAACACCGAAATCCAAAAATGCATTGGGATAGCGAAAGATGCCTTGTAAAAGGTAAGAAAGAGGAAAATGTCGTTAGAAACACAGAAAAAAAGAGTATTGAACTGTTACGTAATATCAATCCTTCTATGGCAGTGAATGCTGGACAATCTCCTCACAGATGAAGAAGAAACTTGAAGAAACAGAATTGTTGTTCTACGGAAGAATTACTTGAGAATACTATAGACTGAACATGTGAGCAACGACGAAGTGTTAGAGAAAATGGAAACGAAACGGACACTTATACTTAACATCAGTAATAGTTGAAATTTCCAGCACACACATAATGAGGAAAGAGGATTTTAACACTCACTGGACATATTAAATTCAAGAGAGACTGGATTAACTGATTTGTTTGTTTAACGACATATCAACTCTTTATGGGTCATTTAATTGCAAAATATTCTTAACTTAAAAAGGCTTGCTCAAAATATTTCTCTGAGCGCCTAAAGAGTTCTTTAAGCGATTAGAATATTATTGTTACGGTTCAGATAGAAACACTCACAGTTCTTGTTGAGTTGAAAATTTTTTCGCAGATAAAGGAATCCTGCAGCTGAGTGAGTTTTTAGGTCGACGACAGAAGTCCAGTGGGCTCGTCAGAAGGAGTGGTGAAGGGATGCAGCTTTGGATTGGTCTTGAATAGTGGACGGACGTTCGTTTTCGACAGCCCTTTAGTAGTTCTTCTTTGGTGAAATAGGTTCTGGAGTTCTCTAATGTCGACCTCACAGACGGTGGGCAGAAATCCCACTGACAAAATAGGCGTAGATTCTCCAAATTTTGCCTACGTAACGAACTTGTGTAAATTAATGTGAGAACAGGGTTTAGGAGATTAAACAAAAAGAAAATTTGCTAAGATCTTCAGAGAACAAGAACAAGAAATTGTAGAGATTCATGATCACCAACATCCTGAAAGTATATGACACAAAGAAGAACAACAACAACGACTATGATAAGATAGATATATTGGGTTCGTGCATGTATGTAAATCAAATAAAAGTCGGTAAATACATTTAATATTAGGTTGGTGCATAATTATCAGGCGTTTTTGTAGGCGAGTTCTTTGCTAATAAAAATTGCCGTGTTGTTTACTTTTTTTTAAATAACATTATTTTATTTTCAGTTTATAAAAATGCGTTTCTATAATCATAGGCTCCGGAATAACCATTTAAAAATGTTATTGATGAATTATTATGTTTCTTTTTTCATAATAAATATTATTTTAAAACGCCTGGTAATTATGCACCAACCCGCTAGTAATGAGTATTTGGACAGTGGAAACCTTATGTAACTTCCTTAAAGCAATTTCTTCTTAAACGTGACCGTTTCAAATTTCTTTTTAATTTTCGTGAAGAATATGAAATGATCTGCAATTATTCACTGCTTTATATGGGCGAGTGTTCTGATCTTGCTTGTCATCGTTACAACATTTCAGCCATTATACCCTTTGCATTTTTTAAGTGTCTGTCATAATTGGTAATCTTCTATGAATTTCGAGCTTCAATCCCCTGTAGTAGAATGTTCTCATTTTTGCGTATCCAGTCTAGCGTATATCTCATGTCATTTATCTTGTCAATTTTTCCTTGTGACGTCGCTCGTCTCTTCCACTGAACCAAAGAATATGACTTTTTTCACTAATGTAAACGAGAATCAAGTCTGTTACCGCCAGGTAATGCGATTTGCTTAACCAGTACTATATGCAGTATGCCAATATCGCGAATTGAATAAAGGGCTCGGGTCGAAAGACCCGTAAGGTTACCAACTATAGCGGGATACCGGAAGATGGCTAGAGGTTAAAATGGTGGACATCTTTTGACGATAACAATCGAGATGCATCATAATGGTAATTCCCAAAATTCAGACAAAACTGATTTATGTTATGCTTTAAATATGGTGAGAACAGAAGACATCTCCCGTATTTCCACCCAAACACTAATAAAAATAACATTCATTTTGGTTTTGATTTTATATTAACGTATCTTTCAAAAAGTTCATATTGGCTGAATAAAACTACTCTGTGATCACACAATGGCCAAAGTTTTTTATTTAAAAACTTTCAGCTGAATGAACGACAGAAAACTTTTTTAATAGATGTACCACCAATTCAAAAGAATTTAGTACTTCTGATGAAGATCTCCAAACTTCAGGTTTCTAAACCTGAGATCCGATCTTATGAACCAATTTGCTGACAACTTTCTCAAATTGACAAGAGGCAGAATAGTTTCCACGTTTTAAAGATATAAACAAAAAATTATACTTAAACACAAAATATAAAACGCTCAGGAATTTCATATGTCTGATGAGTATCAATTGTTAAACTGACCAATCAGCTATTTAATCACAATTTGAAGAATTAAAACTCATAACCCAACCGGTATAACTAGTTTAATAAGTAGAAGACTTGACTGCACCGTAGAAAATTTCGTTGTTCAACAGGTTCACTAGTTAATAGTTTTTAATTTTATTTCAGGAGGTTTTTTTTTTCGCAAAGAAATAAAAAAAGTAAAATTGCAGTTTGACGTCATCGAAATATTCTATTCTTGGGTTTTAAGTATAAATCAACACTTGACTATCGCATTCTTTTTGTGCCTGGTTCCTAATAGTCGTTATATATGACATCATGCTAAACAATTTCAAACGTACAGCTTCCCAAAAAACACCAGGAATTCTAACTACCACACAGACACCTCATTGGTTCTTGATAATGACAGCGATAGTCAAAAGAATTTTAACAAAATATTAACTTAGGACAGTTTATCCACAAATTCGAGCACAATGCTCAAAACTTTATCCGAAAACTGGAAAAATATAATAAAAAATATATATGCAGATCTTGTTTTTTTTTAATCAAAATTATTTGAGTGTATACTTGCTAGCTAATTATAAAGATACGCACACACACACACACACACACACACACACACATATATATATATATATATATATGATTTGATATGATATGCTCCCGAGAAATCCCGTTGTGCTCCCTTGAGAAAAGGGAAATTATAAAAACAGTGGCTCATAACGCTATTAAAGCATTGCTCTTCAAGCGAATT